TGGCTTCTGTACATTGTTAGGGTCAATTAAAAACACTCACTGAGCCGGTTAAATGTCTTTCATGCTAAACTTTACTCTTGTAAAATATATAATAAATTGTTGAATCTGTTTTAATTCTTCTCGTCATTATTGCCAGTGCTTGGTTGAAATTTGTTTGTGAAATCTGCAAGCGAAAGCGGCAGTCGAACCCATTGGGCACTTTGAGTATTGTAACCACAGAGGTGACGTCCGCGGTGCGGCCACTAGCGGGTCGTGAGACGTCGGTCGTTACAAATTTATCCTTTTGGTAAAGACTTTCATTCTACAAATAGCACTGCCATTGTCGGAATACACCTGTGCTGTAACCGGCAGTGACGAAAACCACTATTTGAGCACGTGCATTGATTATACAGAATCAATAAATAACTGTTTAAATTGTATATGTTGTAATGAACAAGTTCATTTACAAAATTTGATTAACAAGTTCGTTATAATATCTTTGGAACTATATTTCCTTGCAGAGTAATTGGTTTACGTACGACATCGGGCAAAATTCAGCGAAACGTCAACGTGAGGTAAACACAGTTTGAACAACAAACTGTTTGAAGTTTTGATGATCTGATTGTCATTCAATGTTACAGCATAAATAGAATACATGGTCAGTGTCTTAAGACAAAAATGGCTCGCCAGAGGCTTACCATTTATGTCTTTTTTTCCACCTTCGGTAATGAGTTTTTTAAAATAAATATTTTTGAACTTTGAACTTTGTATTTATATCCCAACACCTTTGAAAGAACTTTTTAAAGAATTTAATTTTTATCTGTATGTTGAAGATTTTGGAGCGTCTCGGATTCTACCTACCAAGATTTGACTTCTCAGTAAAAGAGAATCTTTGGATGTGGCCCATTTTGCATCGATATGAATTTGATTCCATATACTGGAAAGATTTAAATCATTCACTATTTTATACATATACTGGAAAGATTTAAATCATTCACTATTTTATACATATACTGGAAAGATTTGATTTTGTTCAAAATTATATCATTCTGGCTTAGTTTCTATAAAGCAATTTTTTTCAATTAACGCCGTCACAAGTACAATGTGTATGGTGGTGAACTAATGTGTTGGTTGAGTGTGGTGTGAAGATCTTCCCACTAATACGACTGATTCTTTTTGTACAAAAGACGCACAAGTAACCAGAACCTTTTAATACAAACTGAGAAAAAATAGAATTAAACAGGGCCAAACAACGCTAAGGGCAAATGTTTTGAAATCGAGGAGACGACAACGAAAAATCCGACATTCTCAGGAAAAGATCGTCTATGCGCTAGCGCTCAGAACGAGAACTGAAGATACAAGTTGTTGTAACAGTGACCAAAACGTGAACTGAAGGTGGTTGCTGTAGAGTTCGAAACTTGAACTGAAGGTGGTTGCTGTTGAGTCCAAAACGTGAACTGAATGTGGTTGCTGTAGAGTTCGAAACTTGAACTGTTGGTGGTTACTGTAGAGTCTAAAACATGAACTGAAGTTGGTTGCTGAAGTGTCCAAAACGTGAAATGAAGTTGGTTGCTGTTGTGTCCAAAACATGAACTGAAGGTGGTTGTTGTTGAGTTCAAAACTTGAACTGAAGGTGGTTGCTGTAGAGTCCAAAACGTGAACTGAAGGTGGTTGTGGTAGTGGTCAGAACGTGAACTGAAGGTGGTTGCTGTAGTGGTCAAAACGTGAACTGAAGGTGGTTGTGGTAGTGGTCAGAACGTGAACTGAAGGTGGTTGTGGTAGTGGTCAGAACGTGAACTGAAGGTGATTGTGGTAGTGGTCAAAACGTGAACTGAAGGTTGCTGTAGTGGTCAAAACGTGAACTGAATGTGGTTGTGGTAGTGGTCAGAGCGTAAACTGAATGTGGTTGTGGTTGTGGTCATAACGTGAACTGAAGGTGGTTGTGGTAGTGGTCAGAACGTGAACTGAAGGTGGTTGCTGTAGAGTCCAAAACGTGAACTGAAGGTGGTTGTGGTAGTGGTCAGAACGTGAACTGAAGGTGATTGAGGTAGTGGTCAGAACGTGAAATGAAGTTGGTTGCTGTAGTGGTCAGAACGTGAACTGAAGGTGGTTGTGATAGTGGTCAAAACGTGAACTGAAGGTTGCTGTAGTGGTTAAAACGTGAACTGAATGTGTATCAAAACGTGAACTGAATGTGGTTGTTGTAGTGGTCAGAACATGAACTGAATGTGGTTGTTGTAGTGGTCAGAACATGAACTGAAGGTGGTTGTTGTAGTGGTCAGAACGTGAACTGAAGGTGGTTGTTGTAGTGGTCAGAACGTGAACTGAAGGTGGTTGTTGTAGTGGTCAGAACGTGAACTGAAGGTGGTTGTGGTAGTGGTCAGAACATGAACTGAAGGTGGTTGTGGTAGTGGTCAGAACGTGAACTGAAGGTGGTTTTGTAGTGGTCAAAACGTGAACTGAGGATGGTTGTGGTAATGGTCAGAACGTGAACTGAAGGTGGTTGTGGTAGTGGTCAGAACATGAACTGAATGTGGTTGCTATAGCGGTCAGAACGTGAACTGAAGGTGGTTGCTGTTGAGTTCAAAACTTGAACTGAAGGTGGTTGCTGTAGAGTCCAAAACGTGAACTGAAGGTGGTTGTGGTAGTGGTCAGAACGTGAACTGAAGGTGATTGTGGTAGTGGTCAGAACATGAACTGAATGTGGTTGTTGTAGTGGTCAGAACGTGAACTGAAGGTGGTTGTGGTAGTGGTCAGAACATAAACTGAATGTGGTTGTTGTAGTGGTCAAAACGTGAACTGAGGATGGTTGTGGTAGTGGTCAGAACATGAAGTGAAGGTGGTTGTGGTAGTGGTCAGAACATGAACTGAATGTGGTTGTGGTAGTGGTCAGAGCGTAAACTGAATGTGGTTGTGGTTGTGGTCATAACGTGAACTGAAGGTGGTTGTTGTAGTGGTCAGAACATGAACTGAATGTGGTTGTTGTAGTGGTCAGAACGTGAACTGAAGGTGGTTGTTGTAGTGGTCAGAACGTGAACTGAAGGTGGTTGTGGTAGTGGTCAGAACATAAACTGAATGTGGTTGTTGTAGTGGTCAAAACGTGAACTGAATGTGGTTGTGGTAGTGGTCAGAACGTCAACTGAAAGTGGTTTTGGTAGTGGTCAGAACATGAACTGTGGTAGTGGTCAGAACATGAACTGAAGGTGGTTGTTGTAGTGGTCAGAACGCGTACTGAATGTGGTTGTTGTAGTGGTCAGAACGTGAACTGAAGGTGGTTGTTGTAGTGGTCAGAACATGAACTGAATGTGGTTGTTGTAGTGGTCAAAACGTGAACTGAGGATGGTTGTGGTAGTGGTCAGAACATGAAGTGAAGGTGGTTGTGGTAGTGGTCAGAACATGAACTGAATGTGGTTGCTATAGCGGTCAGAACATGAACGGAATGTGGTTGTTGTAGTGGTCAGAACATGAACTGAAGGTGGTTGTTGTAGTGGTCAAAACCTGAACTGAAGGTGGTTGCTGAAGTGTCCAAAACATGAACTGAATGTGGTTGTGGTAGTGGTCAGAACGTCAACTGAAAGTGGTTTTGGTAGTGGTCAGAACATGAACTGAAGGTGGTTGTTGTAGTGGTCAGAACGTGAACTGAAGGTGGTTGTGGTAGTGGTCAGAACGTGAACTGAAGGTGGTTGTGGTAGTGGTCAGAACGTGAACTGAAGGTGGTTTTGGTAGTGGTCAGAACGCGTACTGAAGGTGGTTGTGGTAGTGGTCAGAACGCGTACTGAATGTGGTTGTTGTAGTGGTCAGAACGTGAACTGAAGGTGGTTGTGGTAGTGGTCAGAACATGAACTGAAGGTGGTTGTGGTAGTGGTCAGAACGTGAACTGAAGGTGGTTTTGGTAGTGGTCAGAACGCGTACTGAAGGTGGTTGTGGTAGTGGTCAGAACGTGAACTGAATGTGGTTGTTGTAGTGGTCAGAACATGAACTGAATGTGGTTGTTGTAGTGGTCAGAACGTGAACTGAAGGTGGTTGTTGTAGTGGTCAGAACGTGAACTGAAGGTGGTTGTGGTCAGAACATAAACTGAATGTGGTTGTTGTAGTGGTCAAAACGTGAACTGAGGATGGTTGTGGTAGTGGTCAGAACATGAACTGAATGTGGTTGCAATAGCGGTCAGAACATGAACGGAATGTGGTTGTTGTAGTGGTCAGAACATGAACTGAAGGTGGTTGCTGTAGAGTCCAAAACGTGAACTGAATGTGGTTGTTGTAGTGGTCAGAACGTGAACTGAAGGTGGTTGTTGTAGTGGTCAGAACGTGAACTGAAGGTGGTTGTTGTAGTGGTCAAAACCTGAACTGAAGGTGGTTGCTGAAGTGTCCAAAACATGAACTGAATGTGGTTGTGGTAGTGGTAAGAACGTGAACTGAATGTGGTTGTTGTAGTGGTCAGAACATGAACTGAATGTGGTTGTGGTAGTGGTCAGAACGTGAACTGAAAGTGGTTTTGGTAGTGGTCAGAACATGAACTGAAGGTGGTTGTTGTAGTGGTCAGAACGTGAACTGAAGGTGGTTGTGGTAGTGGTCAGAACATGAACTGAAGGTGGTTGTGGTGGTGGTCAGAACGTGAACTGAATGTGGTTGTGGTTTTGGTAGTGGTCAGAACATGAACTGAAGGTGGTTGTTGTAGTGGTCAGAACGCGTACTGAATGTGGTTGTTGTAGTGGTCAGAACGTGAACTGAAGGTGGTTGTTGTAGTGGTCAGAACGTGAACTGAAGGTGGTTGTGTGTCAAAAATGAACTGAATGTGGTTGTTTAAGTGGTGGTTTTGGTAAAATGAACTGAGGATGGTTGCTGTAGTGGTCAAAACGTGAACTGAAGGTGGTTGTGGTAGTGGTCAGAACGTGAACTGAAGGTGATTGTGGTAGTGGTCAGAACATGAACTGAATGTGGTTGTTGTAGTGGTCAGAACATGAATTGAATGTGGTTGTTGTAGTGGTCAGAACGTGAACTGAAGGTGGTTGTTGTAGTGGTCAGAACGTGAACTGAAGGTGGTTACGTGAACTGAAGGGTTGTGGTATACTATACGGAGCTTCTACACTGCCAGGATTGGATTTCACGGAAAGTGAGTCACGTGTAGTGTGTATCCATTGCTGTAGCTCATGTCCAGTGCTTGTGTGGTAATGTATCCCGTTACATGTACACAAGCATAACGAGGAAATATACATAGAACTTCCATTGACTGAGGATATCACAGGAAACGTTTTTGTAACCATACTTGATGAAACATTCTTTGTTGTCGGCGTATTCGTAGTTGCTGGAGCGTTGTTTGTTGTCGCTGTGTTCGTAGTTGCAGGAGCGTTGTTTGTTGTCACTGTGTTTATAGTTGTGGGAGCGTTATTTGTTGTCTCTGTGTTTGTAGTTGTGGGAACGTTGTTTGTTGTCGCTATGATCGTAGTTGCTGGAGCGTTGTTTGTTGTCACTGTGTTAGTAGTTGCCGGAGCGTTGTTTGTTGTCACTGTGTTAGTAGTTGCCGGAGCGTTGTTTGTTGTCACTGTGTTAGTAGTTGTAGGAGCGTTGTTTGTTGTCTCTGTGATTGTAGCTGTGGGAGCGTTGTTTGTTGTCTCTGTGTTTGTAGCAGTGGGAGCGTTCTTTGTTGTCGCTGTGATCGTAGTTGTGGGAGTGTTGTTTGTTGTCGCTGTGATCGTAGTTGTGGGAGCGTTGTTTGTTGTCACTGTGTTTGTAGTTACCGGAGCGTTGTTTGTTGTCTCTGTGTTTGTAGCAGTGGGAGCGTTCTTTGTTGTCGCTGTGATCGTAGTTGTGGGAGTGTTGTTTGTTGTCGCTGTGATCGTAGTTGTGGGAGCGTTGTTTGTTGTCACTGTGTTTGTAGTTACCGGAGCGTTGTTTGTTGTCTCTGTGTTTGTAGCTGTGGGAGCATTGTTTGTTGTCGCTGTGATCGTAGTTGTGGGAGCGTTATTTGTTGTCACTGTGTTTGTAGTTACCAGAGCGTTGTTTGTTGTCTCTGTGTTTGTAGCTGTGGGAGTGTTGTTTGTTGTCACTGTGATTGTAGTTGTAGGAGCGTTGTTTGTTGTCTCTGTGTTTGTAGTTACCGGAGCGTTGTTTGTTGTCGCTGTTATCGTAGTTGTGGGAGCGTTGTTTGTTGTCACTGTGTATGTAGTTGTAGGAGCATTGTTTGTTGTCTCTGTGTTTGTAGCTGTGGGAGCGTTGTTTGTTGTCGCTGTGATCGTAGTTGTGGGAGCGTTATTTGTTGTCACTGTGTTTGTAGTTACCAGAGCGTTGTTTGTTGTCTCTGTGTTTGTAGCTGTGGGAGCGTTGTTTGTTGTCTCTGTGTTTGTAGTTGTGGGAGCGTTGTTTGTTGTCTCTGTGATTGTAGCTGTGGGAGCATTGTTTGTTGTCGCTGTGATTGTAGTTGTAGGAGCGTTGTGTGTTATCACTGTGTTTGTAATTGTAGGAGCGTTGTTTGTTGTCACTGTGTTTGTAGTTACCGGAGCGTTGTTTGTTGTCTCTGTGTTTGTAGCTATGGGAGCGTTGTTTGTTGTCGCTGTGTTTGTAGTTGTGGGAGCGTTGTTTGTTGTCTCTGTGATTGTAGCTGTGGGAGCGTTGTTTGTTGTCGCTGTGATTGTAGTTGTAGGAGCGTTGTGTGTTATCACTGTGTTTGTAATTGTAGGAGCGTTGTTTGTTGTCACTGTGTTTGTAGTTACCGGAGCGTTGTTTGTTGTCTCTGTGTTTGTAGCTGTGGGAGCGTTGTTTGTTGTCGCTGTGTTTGTAGTTGTGGGAGCGTTGTTTGTTGTCTCTGTGTTTGTGTTGGTAGTGGTTAGAGCAGTTGGAGTTGTTACGGTTTTAGTAGTTACAGCTAACATGGTAGTTGGAGTTGTCGTTGGAATGGTAGTGGTAGTTAGAGTTGCAGTTGTAGTCGGAGTGGTCGGTGTAGTTGATGTTGTAGTGGTTGGTATATCTTCAAAGAGAAATTGATTCTTTCATAACATCAACTAAACGCAAACTCAAACAAAGAAACAAAATAGTCAGACACCTGAAGCAAATCAGACGGACAGTGAGGTTTACATAAACACATATCAGACAGACAGTGAGGTTTACATCAATTATAATTACACATATCAGACAGACAGTGAGGTTTACATCAATTATAATTACACATATCAGACAGACAGTGAGGTTTACATAAATTATAATTACACAAATCAGACAGACAGTGAGGTTTACATAAATTATAATTACACATATCAGACAGACAGTGTGGATTACAGTAATTATAATTACACAAATCAGACAGACAGTGAGGTTTACATAAATTATAATTACACAAATCAGACAGACAGTGAGGTTTACATAAATTATAATTACACAAATCAGACAGACAGTGAGGTTTACATCAATTATAATTACACATATCAGACAGACAATGAGGTTTACATCAATTATCACTACACATATCAGACAGACAGTGAGGTTTACATCAATTATCACTACACATATCAGACAGACAGTGAGGTTTACATAAATTATATTTACACAATTCAGACAGACAGTGAGGTTTACAGTAATTATAATTACACATATCAGACAGTGAGGTTTACATAAATTATAATTACACATATCAGACAGTGTGGATTACAGTAATTATAATTACACAAATCAGACAGACAATGAGGTTTACATAAATTATATTTACACAAATCAGACAGACAGTGAGGTTTACATAAATTATAATTACACATATCAGACAATGAGGTTTACATAAATTATAATTACACATATCAGACAGTGAGGTTTACATAAATTATAATTACACATATCAGACAGTGTGGATTACAGTAATTATAATTACACATATCAGACAGACAGTGAGGTTTACATAAATTATATTTACACAAATCAGACAGACAGTGAGGTTTACATAAATTATAATTACACATATCAGACAATGAGGTTTACATAAATTATAATTACACATATCAGACAGTGAGGTTTACATAAATTATAATTACACATATCAGACAGTGTGGATTACATTAATTATAATTACACAAATCAGACAGACAATGAGGTTTACATAAATTATAATTACACAAATCAGACAGACAGTGAGGTTTACATAAATTATAATTACACAAATCAGACAGACAGTGAGGTTTACATAAATTATAATTACACATATCAGACAGTGAGGTTTACATAAATTATAATTACACATATCAGACAGTGTGGATTACAGTAATTATAATTACACAAATCAGACAGACAGTGAGGTTTACATAAATTATAATTACACATATCAGACAGTGAGGTTTACATAAATTATAATTACACATATCAGACAGTGTGGATTACAGTAATTATAATTACACAAATGAGACAGACAGTGAGGTTTACATAAATTATAATTACACATATCAGACAGTGTGGATAGCATAAATTATAATTACACATATCAGACAATGAGGTTTACATAAATTATAATTACACAAATCAGACAGACAGTGAGGTTTACATAAATTATAATTACACATATCAGACAGACAATGAGGTTTACATAAATTATAATTACACATATCAGACAGACAATGAGGTTTACAGTAATTATAATTACACATATCAGACAGTGTGGTTTACATCAATTATAATTACACAAATCAGACAGACAGTGAGGTTTACATCAATCATAATTACACATATCAGACAGACAGTGAGGTTTACATAAATTATAATTACACAAATCAGACAGACACTGAGGTTTACATCAATTATAATTACACATATCAGACAATGAGGTTTACATAAATTATAATTACACAAATCAGACAGTGAGGTTAACATCAATTATAATTACACATATCAGACAGACAATGATGTTTACATAAATTATAATTACACAAATCAGACAGACAGTGAGGTTTACATAAATTATAATTACACATATCAGACAGTGAGGTTTACATAAATTATAATTACACATATCAGACAGTGTGGATTACAGTAATTATAATTACACATATCAGACAGTGTGGATTACAGTAATTATAATTACACATATCAGACAGTGTGGTTTACATAAATTATAATTACACAAATCAGACAGACAGTGAGGTTTACATCAATCATAATTACACATATTAGACAGACAGTGAGGTTTACATAAATTGTAATTACACAAATCAGACAGACAGTGAGGTTTACTTGAATTTTCATCACACAAATCAGACACTTAATACTTATATAAACAAATTTTATTTTCCTAAATTTGGTATGGGTTGTGATTGTCTTAACACTTACATAAATACAGCTAGTTTTGCTAATTGTGGTATAGGTTGTCACTTAAATGTCAAAGTGTAACAAAGTTACAATGGAAATGTGTACCCTTTAGTTGGGGTAAGCTAATCCGAAATCAAAACGTTTTGATATGAAAATAATGATATTCTCAAAATAAAAATATTTCGTGGAGAAGTTTAACATATCACGATCTGTGTATTAAAATTCATTATGATCAATTACAAAATTAAAATCAGCATGGCAACATAATCATAATCCAAACTCAAATCCAGTAACACATGGGGAAAATGAACAAAAGAAAGATTCATTTACAGTGAGAATCCTGATGAAGTACAAGGAGAATAAGATCAAGCGTTCCGAAAGAGTAAGCGTCTTCAGCTTCATCCGCTGTGTAAATCTTTGTCAATCCAAGTAAGTTACCAAATTCAAACGAGAACAAGGTATACAACAATGGAACCAACAGGCAAATTCATATTGCACAAAGAAATAGAAGGTAATTTGATTCATTGACGAAAGGTATATGTTTCTTACCTTCACAAATCTGCTGTAACAAGGAATTTCCAAACCCATCTAAATCATCGAAAGTATCTACAGCAGTGGCGTATTTAGAAGCCGGAAGTGATGCAATGGCCTCGATCTCAGTGGTGTCAGAAAGGGCCACGCCCACTGTGTATATGGTTATGCTATTGTTTCGTACTTGTTCAGCCATATAAACAGTATAAAGGCTATTCGTATTGGACTGTCCATCTGTTATTAGAATTACTGCGTTTGGCACGTCGCGACGGTCGCCATTACCCTCTACAAACACATAATCCAGGAGAGTTGACAATCCGCCGGCAGTGTTGGTTGTCTGGGAAGCATAACTGATCTGCCGGACTTCTCTATAATTAAGATAAGACAAAGTTTTCAACATGCTTCCATACCTTCAAACATCACCTACACACAATTATCTGATAAAATCTAACTAGGTTTTTCCATCTTTATATAATAATGGCCAAGATAGCCTACCAATCAATCTATAATTCGTTTGTGTACAAACGTCGGTCACGCGCATATCCCACGATAACCCTCCCCCTCAACAAATCGTAGGGACTCATACGGATTTATCATTAGCTCTTGATAACTATTGTTTGTGTACGGATTAATGCGAATATCAGTACAAGCTTACCTGTATAACTGTTGTATTATGTACGGATTATGGAGTAACTTACCTGTATAACTGTTGTATTGTGTACGGATTATGGAGTAGCTTACCTGTATAACTGTTGTATTATGTACGGATTATGGAGTAACTTACCTGTATAACTGTTGTATTATGTACGGATTATGGAGTAACTTACCTGTATAACTGTTGTAATTGTACGGATTATGGAGTAGCTTACCTGTATAACTGTTGTATTATGTACGGATTATGGAGCTTACCTGTATAACTGTTGTACTGTTGTATTGTACGGATTATGGAGTAGCTTACCTGTATAACTGTTGTATTATGTACGGATTATGGAGTAGCTTACCTGTATAACTGTTGTATTATGTACGGATTATGGAGTAGCTTACCTGTATAACTGTTGTATTATGTACGGATTATGGAGTAACTTACCTGTATAACTGTTGTATTATGTACGGATTATGGAGTAGCTTACCTGTATAACTGTTGTATTATGTACGGATTATGGAGTAGCTTACCTGTATAACTGTTGTATTATGTACGGATTATGGAGTAGCTTACCTGTATAACTGTTGTATTACCTGTATAACTGTTGATTATGGAGTAGCTTACCTGTATAACTGTTGTATTATGTACGGATTATGGAGTAGCTTACCTGTATAACTGTTGTATTATGTACGGATTATGGAGTAGCTTACCTGTAGAACTGTTGTATTATGTACGGATTATGGAGTAGCTTACCTGTATAACTGTTGTATTATGTACGGATTATGGAGTAGCTTACCTGTATAACTGTTGTAGCTTACCTGTATAACTGTTGATTATGGAGTAGCTTACCTGTATAACTGTTGTATTATGTACGGATTATGGAGTAGCTTACCTGTATAACTGTTGTTGTACGGATTATGGAGTGCTTACCTGTATAACGGATTATGGAGTAGCTTACCTGTATAACTGTTGTATTATGTACGGATTATGGAGTAGCTTACCTGTATAACTGTTGTATTATGTACGGATTATGGAGTAGCTTACCTGTATAACTGTTGTATTATGTACGGATTATGGAGTAACTTACGGATTATGGAGTAGCTTACCTGTATAACTGTTGTATTATGTACGGATTATGGAGTAGCTTACCTGTATAACTGTTGTATTATGTACGGATTATGGAGTAACTTACCTGTATAACTGTTGTATTATGTACGGATTATGGAGTAACTTACCTGTATAACTGTTGTATTATGTACGGATTATGGAGTAGCTTACCTGTATAACTGTTGTATTATGTACGGATTATGGAGTAACTTACCTGTATAACTGTTGTAATTGTACGGATTATGGAGTAACTTACCTGTATAACTGTTGTATTGTATACGGATTATGGAGTAACTTACCTGTATAACTGTTGTATTATGTACGGATTATGGAGTAACTTACCTGTATAACTGTTGTATTATGTACGGATTATGGAGTAACTTACCTGTATAACTGTTGTATTATGTACGGATTATGGAGTAGCTTACCTGTATAACTGTTGTATTATGTACGGATTATGGAGTAGCTTACCTGTATAACTGTTGTATTATGTACGGATTATGGAGTAGCTTACTGTATAAATGTTGTATTATGTACGGATTATGGAGTAGCTTACCTGTATAACTGTTGTATTATGTACGGATTATGGAGTAGCTTACCTGTATAACTGATGTATTATGTACGGATTATGGAGTAGCTTACCTGTATAACTGTTGTATTATGTACGGATTATGGAGTAGCTTACCTGTATAACTGTTGTATTATGTATAACGGATTATGGAGTAACTTACCTGTATAACTGTTGTATTATGTACGGATTATGGAGTAGCTTACCTGTATAACTGTTGTATTATGTACGGATTATGGAGTAGCTTACCTGTATAACTGTTGTATTGTGTACGGATTATGGAGTAGCTTACCTGTATAACTGTTGTATTATGTACGGATTATGGAGTAGCTTACCTGTATAACTGTTGTATTATGTACGGATTATGGAGTAGCTTACCTGTATAACTGTTGTATTATGTACGGATTATGGAGTAGCTTACCTGTATAACTGTTGTATTATGTACGGATTATGGAGTAGCTTACCTGTATAACTGTTGTATTATGTACGGATTATGGAGTAGCTTACCTGTATAACTGTTGTATTATGTACGGATTATGGAGTAGCTTACCTGTATAACTGTTGTATTATGTACGGATTATGGAGTAGCTTACCTGTATAACTGTTGTATTATGTACGGATTATGGAGTAGCTTACCTGTATAACTGTTGTATTATGTACGGATTATGGAGTAACTTACCT